TTAAATTTGTCTTCAAAAACTTAATGTCCTACTTTATCTCTCCCTTTCGTTGTTCCCATCCCTTACATTTTTTAAACTTTTGGTATTTATGCTAATTTTGTAACAATTTTAATTTATGGTGAAACAATTGTAGTGAATAATTAATATGTAGTTTTGAATCTTTATTTTCGTTTTCATATGTAATCACTTTGTAAAATAATATGAATGCGCTCGTGTATGTCGTTGACTAGTATATTTTTATTTTCTACATTTGTCATTTAGAAACTTAATTGGTGCACCGATTGATTGGTGCTAAAATTAATAAAAAAAATCTGCACTTACCTAGCCATTCTAAATTTTACAAACATGCACACAGACCAATCAATTGTACTAACCATCGAACTAAAATAATACTGCATTGTAATTGTTTCTTTTGTTTCAATTGTTTGTTTTTAATAATATATTCCATAATGACGAATTAGATAAATTAGAAGGAAATTAATACAATTGCGCTTATTACGACGCGATAAACTAATAAATTGTAAGTACTGTTATGGTATTGAAAAGAGAGATATAATAATAATTTTGGTATAATACAGTATTTTATATGATAATATTTAGAGCAATTTTTTATACTGTCAGTCCTATTTAGGAACCTAATCGAAGCATTTGAAAAAAGGATTTTCCTTTAAACAAACGTGTATTATTTGTTATTATTCGACGTTTCGTGCATTTTATCTTCAGTAGTTCCAAAAGTTATGATTTATTTGTCGTGCTGTTTTTGTGTTTCTAGGTAGGTCATTGCTTTAAGGACATTTATGTTTGTATATACTCATGCCTATCATAATATTGTCAAATTTCTATTTAAGCTACAGAATGAGATGTGTGAAAATTATTTCCAATTAAATAATGTTGAAATCAAAGAGAAAACTTAAGGGATAAATACTTTATTTAACCAGAAAAACCAGATTAAACTAACAATTGTGAACATTCATATGTATAATTCGTTAATTTTATATTTCCCTTAACATATTGGTTCTGAAATCAATATTATTTCAAAATTGAAGAGAAGAAATGAAAAAATGTGTAAAATCATTTATTTGTAATTAAAATAAGCCTTACGTGATATAAAATAAATGCTTCGAACTAATCTACGTATGAAAATAAACTAACTAATAACAAACGTATTTTAAGTGTACAGAAAGAACTGATGAGCGACTCTGTTTCACATGAAACAACAAAAAATATGTAAATTTTAGAAAATATTTAAAGTTAACAAATTCATTATTGCTACCATTATTATTGTGTTTACTAGATCCTTGTGGTATAATTAAAAATTGTTTTCATTTCAAGTTCATGTTGATGCAGAACATTTTCAAATTTTCTATTAATACCATCGACTGTATTAACAATTTTCATTAATTGTTCGTTTTGTAAATCCATTTTTATCGGCACGATCGTTGGTTGACAAGCGATGCCTTTTATATTATACTTTTCATACTCCGAACCGGACTTCAAGTTGATGTTAACTTTACGAAATTCCTTTAAAATTCCAAGAAGAATTGAACATGCCAAATTGTTTCCGTTGAGTTGAACTATTTTCAAATTTACCAAAAAAGAAAGGAGCGGTACCGTTTCAAACTCAGTGATCTCGTTGTTGTCAATCTTCCAGTATTGAAGATGTTCTAACATGTGAAAAGCCTCAGCGGTAATAGTCTGCAACTTATTGTGAGACAAATCTAAATTTGTTACCACAGTTAATCCTGATAACGATCCCAAACCGATCGAGGTTAATTTGTTGTGGGAAATATCTAATATCCTTAGATTTCTCAAGTCTTTGAATGTTCCCAAACCAATGAAATTAATTTCATTAAAGCTTATATTTAAATCAGACAGTTGATGTAAACCATTGAAAGTACTTGGATGTAAAAACGTAATTTTGTTGATCGAAATGTCTATAACATTGAGAGTAGATAAACCAAACAAAAAGTTAACCTCCTTCAAATTGTTTCTACGAGTTGAAACATATTTTAGATTGATTAGCCCGTACATGGCATCCTTTTCTATCATGTCTATGGAGTTATAGGAAAGATCTAGCGTTTTTAAATTTGTGAGGGAGGTAAACACCCCTTTTCGTATGTTACGGATGTTGTTATGATTTATTTGAACTTCACGAATACTTCCTAATTCGAGAAATGCCCCTCGAACAATATCTTGAACATTGCAGCGCGAAATATGGATTGATTCGACATGTGGAAAATTGAAAAAACTAAAACTTGGAAGCGATTGGATAGTGCCAGAAGTTATAAACAGAGCTTTAGCTCCTTTGTTATTGTAGTTTAGTCGTAGAGGGAGGCTTTGAACTGATGAACAAGTAAGTCGGTAAAACCCATATCCTTCTGCTTCAATAAGTCTACTACATTCTTGTGAAAATGTGTACGATACCAATTTTACGGTCACTAATACGAACCAAAAAACTCTAATCCACCTATAAAAGCAAAGAAACATTCGTTAGTAAATGTACCTATACACCATAAATAAAATAATTTCCCTACATTAAATTTGTATGCAACTTAATTGGTTAGTAGGAGACTTTCTTAAGCATGAAGGGATAAAATAATTCGAAGTGGTCTGTATTCTGTCGAAAGTGCCAGACGCGGATCGCGATTTCGATCTTTTTGGATCTCATCAGCGCGTCGCAGGCAGCTCCGTCAGAACACAGACCAACTTTTACCTGTTGTCTTAACAGTGCGTTTCAGAAAATACTACAAACGGCACAGTGAACGCCATCTATAGCACGATGCTACATTTTAGTATTACGTATGCTCCAACAAGGTCCACTTGTGTGGATATCTACTTGCTGAAAACGAATCCCGGCGTAGCCAACCTCAACGTGATAGGCACGTTAGCTTAATCGAATAAAATAATTCGAAGTGGTCTGTATTGGACCTTGTTGAAAAATACGTAATCCTAAAATGTAGCATCGTGCTACAGATGGCGTTCACTGTGCCGTTTGTAGTATTTTCTGAAACGCACTGTTAAAACAGCAGGTAAAAGTTCGTCTGTGTTCTGTTGGAGCTGCCTGCGACGCGCTGATGAGATCCAAAAAGATCGAAATCGCGATCCGCGTCTGGCAGTTTCGACAGAATACAGACCACTTCGAATTATTTTATTCGATTAAGCTAACGTGCCTATCACGTTGAGGTTGGCTACGCCGGGATTCGTTTTCAGCTAGTAGATATCCACACAAGTGGACCTTGTTGAAAAATACGTAATCCTAAAATGTAGCATCGTGCTACAGATGGCGTTCACTGTGCCGTTTGTAGTATTTTCATGAAGGGATAGTTGGAGACAGTGGCAGAAACATGAGTTAAAAGGAACGGGGGTAGACCTGGATTAGATTACTGCTCACAAATAGTTAAGGATGTCTGATGTCATAGTTTTAGGGAAATGCGAAGAGGAGCTCAGGAAGGGAAAGATTGGAGATGCGTGTCTAATCAGTCTTAGGATTGATGACCCTATGGTAATGATGATGAAGAAGATATTTTTAATTGCAAAAAGAAAGAGCAGATTCTCCTAACTACACTGATTAATATCATTCTCATTCTTTCTTTGTTGCCAAAAGTACTCTCCTAAGATAAGATCATACAACTATGGCTAAAATAGAATTATAAACTCTAATGATACACTAAAGTGAATGTCGTGCCGCGAGATTTTTGTTTTCTTTATATCTGCCTTTCAATTAAAGTGTGATAGGTTAAAAAATTATCCTTTAAATGCCTTTCTCAAATATAAAAATAGTTTACATAAGTTATAAATTGTTTACGCACGAACTAGTTCAAGTCAAAAGTTATTTTTATATATATATCCTGTCAGCGTTTTGCCCTCCTATTATTAGAGGCTTTCTCAAGGGCAATTACATTATAGTTGGATAAGACAGATGCATTATAAACAACCTTAATCTTTTTGTGAAGTAGCTTTAGTAATAGGGACTGGAGTAATTTTTGTAATATGATTATTTTTTATAAATAAATGAATAAATACTTCAATAGTCTATAAAATTACGTAAAACAAAAGACAATTACACCTGCATTTAAAATGGAGATTACAATGTGTACTACATCTGTTTTAACTAATCAAACAATAACCCTTGATGAATTCCACCCCCATCTGAGAGCGAAACGTTGGGAAATTGATTTGACCTGAACTACTTTCAATTAAATACCGCCGGCAAAAATTAAAAAGTAATCTACATATTAGTTTGAAACACATCTAATTAGTAGTCACTGTCTTCAAAAAGTGGAATTAGCATCACCACATATAGCAATCGTCTTACAGAACAGCTTATCGTGAGAAATTATGATGTTTTGGTTGTGATAAGAAAAGCGAACACTTTTTGATAATTTAGCCTACCTATTCGTACATGGATAATGCCTAGTTCTCTCCCATACACCTGTTTTTTATTAGGGTTAAAATTTTCGGTATGTCGAATTCCCTCCCAATTATACATCAATTGCCTCCCAACGGCGGCGGACCTTGAGTGCTAATTACCACTATAAAGTCATAAAGAGATGTTTAAATAATACAGCCTCACATCACATATTAATCTTAATATTATTCATATATTATAGACACCACAATAACAATAATAATTTTATCGGACTACCCTTCTATTGGTCAAATACAAGACAAACTAAAACTAATAAAGTTTTTCTAGATGATTGCATCAAAAAGCTAGACGCACACGAATTTTCAAACATTGAATTTGTTAAGGTAGTGGGAAACCATTTTAAAATTATATTCATAACTGATATGTGTTTTCTTTCTGAAATTATTTTATCTTTAATTTACTGAAGTACTGAAGTGCACTATAAATATATATTTATTTTCGATAAATAAAATCGGTAAGTAGTTGTTAACTTAATTATCGGAGTTGATATGAACGGGAGGGAACTCGGCTAGTACCCGGGAGGGAATTCGACATCTACGTTTTAACCAAAACTACCTGCGGGAGGGAATTCGGCATCACCGTCGTACATGCATACATGACAAAAAATATCGATATACAAGTAGGTATCGATACTTTAGTCCTATGAAGCTACCAAATACCCAGCTGAGTAAAAGCTTCAACACTGCAAACAGTGGCGTAACCGTGTAACTATACCACCTGAGGCCTCTGGTAAATTCATCGGTTTAGGGTCTCCCTATAGATGTGATATTTTTTTCTTATGGATCTGTTCAAATCTTGGTAATTTATTAATTTATTAATTCGTGTATATTCTTGAGTTAATACCTAACTTAAACTGATTAAATACAAAATTAAAATTTTTTATCAAATTTTGTAATAAATATTAGGCTACTACTGTTCTCATGACTTCAGAACGGGGGCCCGTGACATTTTGCTCATTCTGCTACCCTATTGTTACGCCACTGGCTGCATGATATTCTTTCACATACTAGCACAGAATCCGTCGGACTCCCAGTATAAAATAAACAGATAACTTACCCCATTTTATCAATTTTTCTTCCGGTGTATAATAAATTACAACAGTAGCTTCACGAAGGGAACTTCAACTGTTCTTGAGCGTTTCTGAAACCGTATTACCTCGTAGATAGACGATCTGCTGAATATGCAATATACATGCAGAAATCTACCTACCTTCTGCTTATCGTAATATATAAATAACTATTTACTTGCATGAACTTTGAATGGTAGTTACTTGTTTTTATTCATTATCAGAGTCCGGTAATAAGAGCTGTTGTACCTGCATGAAATTTCTTAAAATTCCAAGAAGAATTATATTATATTACCTATTATTATTTCTTTAATATTTCTCCGATACCTTATATTCACATAAAGATTTAAATTTTTCAACTCATAATAACATGGGAACGATTATACCTATTCATAGGGGAAGAAGTGTACGGGGCTTTTGTTGTCGAATTTGCCTGCTCTTTGCATTTTTTTTTTTTTTTTAAAAAACTATTGCTATATTGCAAATCTAAGTATTTCAATTCGTTGAAACGTGTTATTAAAATAAGATTAATTAAAACAATATAGTACAAATTTAAGTGTTTTTTGCTTTAATACACAAAAACTTGTACTTTAACATGTTTTAAACGAATCAAAAAGATCATGCACATCTTAGGTGTGTTAATTCATTTACACATGATTTTCGCTACACTAAAGTGTGTTGGAACAACACACAATTGCGTTTTTAATATAATTAATACATGTGATTGTGTTAATGGTTTTTAATTAATATATATAAATATACATATATCCACTACAAATTGTAATGAGTTATTATAATGCATATAATTGTATATTTTAACATATTTTTAACGAATCCAATAACTCATGCATATTTCATATTTAAAAATAACTTCATCTCTCATTTTTTAAAATTAGTTTAAATATTATTTCTTAGCAATGGAGGTATTGTTTATGTAATGATTGTCTTAACAGTAAAATAAACATTTTTGCAAGAGCTTCCAAAGGTTTTTAGGTACTTGTAGCAAGTAGTTGAATCAAGTAAATGTTCCAAAACTAATAAACCTGTGTACATACAGTTTAATGTTTCATTAAAGTTTTGGTTTTAACCCACTATGTACAATTGTCATTCTTTGAATCCCTATCCCTAGACCAACATAAAGTACATTTTTGGGTGCTCCCAGTCAGGATAAAGAAGTCGAATTATCGAGAATTAAACCAATGTTTTGCAGAGTAATCTTCAGTGTTCGTTTGAAATGTATGAAATAAAAGTGGCAACTTATTGAAAAATATCATTACGCAAGTGTTGTATCTGCAGTTCTTGAATCTTATTGGATGATAATTTTTTGTGGAGGTTTTTGCACTGAATTCCATTTTAACCAAGTTAGTGATCGGAAGAAGATCCGGAATTTCCTGCTGCCAAAGATTTCAATAGCAACAGGAAGTACTGAAAGAAGTGTAAAGAAGCAGTAATTAAGTAAATGATGAAGATACCGCGGATGGAGGTCAGAAGTGAAGAGATATTAGAAGGAGTAGGAGAACAGATGTCACTATTCAGAGTCATATTAGAAGCAACAACAGGAGTTAAGAGGGGTAGGGCAGACCTAGACTATTAGATTACTGTTCGCAAATAGTTAGAGACGTAGTGGAGTTTTCGAGAAATGAAGATTGGCTCAAGGTCGGGGGGAAATGAATGTGCATGTCCAACTAGCAGACCTTTTGATGGTGATGTAGAAACCGTTAAGAATAGAGTCCCCAATGAGTGATTTTTGTAACTTTTGACCTTAATTAAGGGATTTAACGCATGTTGGATCGATGGAGAAATTTCACATTTCATTTAAAAGGATAAATGCAAATGTGTTATTCTACCCTTTTTGAAAAGAAAAAGGTCCCTCTTTTACGAGGCTTATTTTAAACGCAACGTCTTTCATTAGCAATAAATCTTCCAGAAAATGTACTGCATTTGTATCAAGGAGGTTGGAATTAAAATACATTTGTTGTTCGTAAAGGGACAAACGTTTGTTTGACTCCAAATTGCTATTTAAAGAAAAATGGCATCAATTTCTTGCAGAGTGCGTGAACTCGCGGAAACGACTATTCTAACGAATAACAAACTGATTTGTTATTCGCAGAAACGAATAAGGAAAAATAAAGGAAATGTTTTCATTAAAATATAAGAAAAGCGTCCATTGTATATTATGTCTGAATGCCGAAATGTGGGCTTTTTTAGGGAAAAGCACTTAGCTTGTAGCAAAACGAACACCCACGTTTCGTAGTTTGTTGTAAGCCCTTTTCATGGTAGATTATAAACCTTGTACCAAACGTAGGTTTTATTTGCTGTGAATCGGAACGTGGAATATTCGACTTTAATTACTACACCTAATAATACCTTAAAAATGGAAGAAGAAATGGAAATATAATTTTAGAATTATTGAAAAGTTATGTGGGAAGTTTGATTTTGTAACATGAATCATTTTCTACCGCTACGTCCGATAATATAATTAATAAATCGCTTTCAATCAGTTGTCGATGGCTAATTTAGACCTAATAATTGGGACCTAATAAATGACCTCCAAATTATTGCTTCTATCTAAATAATACACTCCCGATTATCAATTCAATTTTCTAAGGCGACTAACGAAATACCCTATACATTTTAAAGATTTGATATTTCCATCAGAAGGGACTTAAATCCCTTTTCACTTTATCGACGACCAAGTAAGCCCTCCTTTTTTTTTTCTAAGATTTTGTTAGTAGGTTCCAAATCCCCACGCGGATTTTCTTGGTGACGATAAAGCGAAAGAAAGTAATTGTTGAATAAAAGATTTTTGAAATCGAATGTCAGATACCTGTAACGTTATGCAAATCTATTTCCTTATCTACAAGACGCACTGCTAATAATATCGCAATTCAATTGATATAGGTAAGTACCTAAAAAATTTTTACGTACAGGTTTGACGAAATCAAGATTTAGTAGGTAGGTGTTCATGTAAGGATTAAGATAAGGTAGCCTTGGAGCAGTGACGTAATAATTGATTAAAGGGGTGAGGCCCAAGATTTGCTGAGTACCTTAGGGTCTTATAACCGCATTGAAATGTGAAAAAAATGTTCCCACCACGCAGCGCGTAAGAACCAAAAGGGTCAGTCCCGACCGCGCAAGATACATATTTAAATGAAGAGTGGGCGTTTATTGAAGAGTTCGCTCTGGGGCCCATTATTTTCTGGCTACGCCACTACCTATAAGTATTTTATAATATAAATTTATAAATACTGTAAAATTAGGTTATAAAAATATAGATTATAACTACAACTTAAGACTCGCTAAAACTTTCGGTTATGACAACCACATATAGAGATCAGTGCCGGATTAAGCCAGCGCGGGGCCTATAGCAAATTCTATCAAGGGGCCCTTAGACTGTTTTAGGTTAGGTACTTATCGAGTTTATGGTATATTTTAAGAGATAATTGAATACTTAAAAAAATCGATTGCACCGCTATATTATGTAAGAAAACAATACTCAATAACTACAAAACCACTTTTCTCAAGAATGGTTCATATCGAAAGTACTATTATTATCATCCAAACGTAAATATCGATCATTCCTTATAGTTTGGCAGTCAATATAACCCTTTTCAAATCGGTTGGGTTATTACGACTAGCACGGAGAAAATATTAGGAAATTCCCCGTTTTGTTTAGCAGTAATGCCAACTTGCGTGTAGTGCGGTGCGAAACATGATTTTTGGTATGACCAGTGGATAGAAAAATAAAATTATAGTTGATCATTTTGAGGCAAATATTTTCTTCTTAGTAATTGTGAGTTGTGACTAAATCTAATATATAAATAATACTTTTTTATGGTCAGAAAACATTGGTGCGCGGGGCCCCCAAATCAGCAGCATTTGCTACTTTTACTTCGTGGCTAATCCGGCACTGATAGAGATACAGCGTCATATTTTCATTGTTAAAAATCCCTAAAACGGTTGTAATATTGCCGGCAGCCTCTCTTAATCGCAATTTCCACATGGGCCTCATAGTCACTGCATAATGTGTTTCCAAAATTGTTCAGTTTTGTGTACAATGAAAGCGAAAACGGGGGGTTAAAAATTATTTATTTATTCAACGTTTCGTTCGAGCTGTTGTTATTATTAGGGCGTTGATATAATTAAATTCTTCTGTAAATAAGAACTTCTTATTAATCTAATAAATTGTATGAAATAAAAACTTGATGACGTTCTGTCCATTATTGATTAGTTGGATAAGCTACAAGAAGAAATAGAAAAAAAAAATTATTAAAAGTATGTATTTTTTTTCTTACTTGATAAAATATGACCATGTCTACTTTCACGAGGCTTCAAAAAAGTTTCCTGCAGTTATTTCACGACCCTGGAGAATAACTGCTGTAAATATTAGATAACACTTTTCAAATTTGTTAAACTCATTTCGGTAGTATAAGAGTGAAATAAATCCATTACTGTGGGTACCACCATTGGGTATATACTTCTTTTTTAAGTATTTATATTTACATAATTTATAAACCAAGGGAATTAAAATAAATGAAGGTGTTCTATTTTTCTGTGATATTAGACAACACAAACGACTTCTTTGGAGTAATAAATTCCAACAAAGAAAAAGAAAACAATTTTTATAAAGAAATCACGTTTTCATAAGCACTAGTGATGCATAAGGATATTTTCAAACGCATTATCAAGCAAAGAAATTCTTATTAAATATTACAATATTACACTGCAACTATTATTTATTGCTGTGGTGTTCCATTTGACCTTACTTTGATCGATATCATTGATCCTTCGGTTTTGTCATAAGCGTAGAACAAGGGTGGTCAACAAGTCGATAGACCGGTCGATCGCGAGGCCAATTCTGGTTTATTGTCGATACCTATGCGGATCGGCATTTTCATACTTGAAGCTAACGATGGCTAAACAACGTTCTGTTATTGTTATTATCTTCGCCAGGATATACACTAAATTATGATACCTTAGAGACATGTAAACTCAATCTTCCCATTATTGTTAAGGCAACAAAGTAAATTCTAAATCTGTCTTTATCTGTAGCTATACTTCGTTCAGTTTCTCT